ATGATTGAATCTGACAAACTGCAATGATATGAGTTTATTTCCATTTTTGACACTTTATTACACAATACACGATAACAAGTTTACCATCATTTTTACATAATCAACTAACAATGTTGTAAAGATGCAGGAAATGTCAAACAAACACTTTAATGTATCTTATTAGTAAAATAATAAGACTGTTAACATGCCTAAGAATTGAATCTGAGGAAATGTGAAAAAACAGCATAACTTCTAAAATAATGGCCCGATTATGCTGATTTTCGAACTCGACCTGCATTTTAGTAAGATTGACCACTCCTGTGAGTTTAATGGCAATTGGCCTATCGGTTTTTCTTATATTGTGTTTACAGTGTTGCACATATGCTGAAAAAAAGGAAAAAACAGCATAACTAGTAAAATAGTGGCCCGATCATGCCAATTTTCAAACTTGACCTGCGTTTTAGTAAGATTGATTACTCTTGTGAGTTTCATGACAACAGGCCTAACGGTTTTCCTTAAAATGTGTTTACAGGGTTGCATATATGCTGAAAAGTGATAAAACAGCATAACTTCTACAATAATGGCCCGATCATGCTGATTTTCGAACTTGACCTGCGTTTTATGAATATTCATCAGCTCTGTAAATATAAAACCAAAAAATAAAACTGTGTTCCACTTATTGTGTTTACAGTGAAAGTGCACGGCGACGGCATTGCCATCGGCATGTGTCTGTACATATTGCCATCACCTGCGTCTGTACAAAAAAAGCATGTGCATCTGGCGTTGTACTTACATGGCGATACGTCCCTGCACCAATACTGCCCCGCACCGGTACATCCCCGCACCAATACTTCCCCGCACCGATACTCCCATACAATTACAGATACACTGAGGGGGAGGGTCGGTGCGGGAAAGTAACGGTGTGGGGTAGTATCGTTGGGGGGGGGGGGGGGGTTATTAACAGTTGTGCACGCTCGGCTGACAGCAATTTAGCATGAACCGATCTAAATCTTTGGGAATGCACTCTCACTAATGGATCATTTGCCCAACCTGAATTGTTTTCCCTGTAAAGTCTTAGAAACTGTGAAGAATGGATTTTGTTGACCTCCCAAACGTTCCTAATTTTTAATCTACCTCCTTTTTTTAAAGATTCTAAAAGCATGTGCATTGGGTGCTTGGTTACTTTCAAATGTATACACTTGTAGTACAGTGCCCCATAACTTGAAAGCATTGCGTATTACAAACAGTGATATAAAATAGAGGTTACAATGTATTATATGGGGCAAGTTATGGAATCGAGAGGCTTGAGCTTGGTCAAATGCACGATTCTTTTGAGGTACGGGACCCAGGGCTCAGCTTTCAAGATTTAAATCAATGAAACAAAAATAAGAATGAATCTCATCTTTTACTTCAGTCATTTTCCCATCAATAAGAACACATGCAATGAAATGTCTTTTATCTTATTAATTTTTTTTTTCATTTTTAATTGACCACATTTCTTAATGTTTGACTAGCTACAACTATCAATTCAGTTAGATTAGAGCATATCAAATGTCTATGACATGATTTTATGAATTACTACACATTATGCATCAGCATCTACAAAAATTTTTCTTAACATTGCAAAAGGATGTATCTAAGGCCCCACTTTTGGAACAATGTTATCATCTAACTCCTATTTGACTACGGCATCAGTATAGAAATCCCTTTCTTCTTTTAGCCTTGAGACAGAAACTTTATCTTAAAATTTCTTTTTCCCAAACTCAAGTGAAAGTATAGCCCTATGTGAAATATCCTCATCTAGAAATTCTTTCTCAATAAACTGAATTGGAAAGTCAGTGTGAATTCCTTCTTCATGTTGTATACATTTACTTTTCTCACCATAACTGTTCACAGAACTAGCATTTGAACAGTCTTCCTGTAGTGTGGGTCCTTTCATGTTTTTTACGGTAATCTTTTTTAATAAAACTCTTTTCACAATACTGGCATTTAGATGGTTTTTCTCCAATGTGGGCCCTTTCATGTTGTAAACAACCCGGTTTGCTTCTAGAACTCTTTTGACAATACTGGCATTTGAAAGGGTTTTCTCCACTGTGAATCCTTTCATGTATTAAACAGCCACTTTTATCAAAAAATCTCTTTTCACAATGCTGGCATTTGTATGGCTTTTCACCAGTATGGATTCTCTCATGTGTTATACAGTTACTTTTTATACTAAAGCTCTTTCCACAATATTGGCATATGAATGGTTTTTCCCCAGTGTGTGTCCTTTTATGTAGTAACAATTTACATTTTCTACCAAAACTCTTTTCACAAAACTGGCATTTGAAAGGTTTTTCTCCAGTGTGGATCTTTTCATGACGTGTACATCGACTTTTCTCTCCAAAACTCTTTTTACAATACTGACATTTGAATGGCCTTTCTCCAGTGTGGCTCCTTTCATGTGTTACACAGTACTGTCTCTTAATAAAACTCTTTTCACAATACTGGCATTTGAAGGGTTTGTCTCCATTGTGGTTCATTTCATGCCGTACACAAGCACTTCTCTCACTAAATCTCTTTTCACAATATTGGCATTTGAATGGTTTTTCTCCAGTGTGGGACCTTTCATGTCGTAAAATGGAACTTTTGTCACTAAAACTCTTTTCGCAATACTGGCATTTGAAAGTTTTTTCACCAGTGTGTTTTTTTTCATGCCGTGCACAACTACCTTTCCATCTAAAACTCTTTTCACAATACTGGCATTTGAATGTTTTTTCTTCAGTGTGGGTCCTTTCATGTTGTTTACAGATACATGGAGTATATAACTCCAAAATGCTCTCAGCAACAATTGCACTTAAATGGGGTTTCTCTAAATTGGGTAATTCCATCTTCAACACTGAAGTTTTTTGAAGAAATTTCTATTTAAAACAAGAACATGGATGGTATCTCTCCAATTATGAGTCTTTTAATGGTTTTTCTTCAAATTGTGTAATTCAATGTTAAACACAGCAAAATTTCGAAAAAAAAATAGCACTTTCACATGGATTGTCTGTCTCTTGTGTAAGTCCTTTAATGAATTGGGCAGCTGGTTCTGCTGGCAAATCTACTTGTACTTTCTGGTAAATCGCTGGGGCGATCACTGGGGTCAATCCACGGTGGTTGTACTTTGGGATAATCCGTGGAGGCAGAGTGAAGATAGTGGTGTGCATGTAAATGTTGCCGTCTCACAACAACAACAAAAGTCTTGAGTATGTACAGCAAAGTTGCATGATACTACTCGTCCCTAAATGCTTGTGTCCGCAAACAATGTGATTCGCCTTCACATCTCTAAAGGAACTAATGTCAGTAAAAAGGGTAATATACTCTTCATCGACACTATTTATCTAACATTATTCAGGACAGGCCACATTCCAATTCAATAAGTTGAGATTAGCATCGGATGTGTTTCTAGATATTTTACTTCATTTGAAACTGTAAATATTGTGTTGTATCAGTCATTTATAATATACAAACATTTAATATGGATTTAGCAGTTGCTCGAGGTGTTCAGGCACGAATATTGCACGGTGTTGTGAACCGTCTAAAATGACTTTCACTTTAATTTATAACTGTACTGAATTTCGGTGTATCAATTTCCATTAATGTATTAACTAATCTATGGGCTTCGACATGACTCGAGATTCGTCTCAGTCTTTCACTTTACATGCACAGAGAAGCATAACAGAACAACCTCACATCTTCAGTCTCAAATCTAGTGTCTTTATTAGGTGCAAGCATTCAAATTTTACACAGATTATCTACAGGGAATCTATGCGTACATGTGGCTGCTGCTTATTTACATACTTATTGTTGTGCAATATTAAAAGGTGATATGCATCTGTCTCAGCCATGGGCCTACCTATGGGCCTCTACAGAAAATATTTGCATGCAGTACAGACGCAAATTAGTTAATAACATGTTGATTAACTATGATTACACAATGTGGAATTTGTGCAGGATTCCACACGCCTTCCCCTAATTTCACAATGGGTAACATCTCAAACAAAAAGCAATGCTTCGTACATGCTAATAAACATACATGAACGTGCATTGTTCTTATTTAGTCAATTCCTAATCATGACGTTTTACAACAAATAAAGGTCAATTAGACTAATAATCCATCCAAAATTGCCGCTCATATAGCAGTGGTGGGTTTAGAGGGGGTATCAGGGGGTCCTGCCCCCCCCCCTTTGATTTCTATTAAAAGAATTACACCAAAAAACATCTAGCAAATATCATAGTTGTAAACCACACCAAATGGTGCCATTTGCCCTACAAAAAAAATTTGGGGGGGACCCCGAATTAATCTTACCCCAAGGGGGTGAAGGTCAGCCTCACAATCCCAGGCCTGTCAATCCCGAATAACATCTCATAACATACCACGAGATACAGCATTTCACCCCAAAACACCCCCAAACCAAATATTAAAAGCGGGTATCTCCACAGTCACATCTCATCTTTTTGTTAACAAAAAGGCTACATATGACCCAAAAACATGTTTTTGAAATTTTGCTTAAACAATATACAAAAGAAAAAAAAAAGTACGAAAGAAAGAAAAAAATTCCTAGCACTTCCCCAGGTAAATGTCTTACTAATGGCCCATTTGCCCAACATAAATTAGTCTTCCCCTGCTGTTGAAATCTGCAAGACTCAGAGACTTAAGAATGATTTTTTTTCTACCTCACAAAATGCCCTTATTCTACCTCCTTCTTTCAAGATTCAAAAAGCATGTGCATCGGATGCTCCATTACTTTAAAATGTATACACTGTCATTCTTAGCTCATCTTTCAAGACAGATATATATAAACTACAAATTAACTGATCTCAATGAAATGAAAAAGAATGAGGTCTCATCTTTTACTTCTGAATCGGCCACTTTTCTATCAACAAGAACACATGCAATAATTTATTTTTTCACTTTAAATTATTACCCCATTTCTTAATGTTTGACAAGATAGAAGTAATAAGTAAGATCAGTGCATCTCAAATGCCGTACACCTTATTTTGTCTTACAAGACATTACGCATCAGCATCTGCAAATACATTTCTAAACATTGCAACAGGATATACATGTATCTCAGGCCGCACTTTTGGGGCAATGTTATCATCAAACTCCTTTTTGACTAAAGCATCAGTAAACAAATTCCTTTCTTCTTTTGCCCCCGAAGCAGAATCTTCATCTTGAAATTTCTTTTTCACTGACTGAAGTGAAAGTATAGCATTTTGTGAAACATCCTCATCCTGAAATTCTGTCTTGAAGACCTGAAGTGGAACATCAGTATGAATCCTTTCTTCATGTTGCATACATTTACTTTTCTCATTGAAACTCTTTCCACAATACTGGCATTTCAATGGTTCTTCCATACATGTAGTGTGGGTCCTTTTATGTGCCAAACAGTTACGTTTTGAACTAAAAGTCTTTTCACAATACTTGCATTTGAATGGCTTTTCCCCAGTGTGGGTCCTTTCATGTAGATAACAACCCAGTTTGCTTTTAAAACTCTTTTTACAATACTGGGATTTGAATGGTTTTTCTCCAGTATGGGTCCTTTCATGTCGAATACATCTACTTTTCCCGCAAAAACTCTTTTCACAATACTGACATTTGAATGGTTTTTCTCCAGTGTGGGACCTTTCATGTTGTACACATCCCTGTTTGCTTTTAAAACTCTTTTCACAATGCTGGCATATGAATGGCTTTTCTCCAGTATGGGTCCTTTCATGTCGAATACGTTTACTTTTCTCATTGAAACTCTGTTCACAATACTGACATTTGAATGGTTTTTCTCCAGTGTGGGTCCTTTCATGTTGAATACATTTACTTTTCTCCCAAAAAATCTTTTCACAATATTGACATTTGAATGATATTTCTCCAGTGTGGATCCTTTCATGTATGATACAGCTACTTTTTGTGCTATAACAACTATCACAATACTGGCATTTGAAAGGTCTTTCTCCAGTGTGGGTCCTTTCATGTTGAATACATTTACTTTTCTCGCAAAAACTCTTTTCACAATACTGACATTTGAATGATATTTCTCCAGTGTGGATCCTTTCATGTATTATACAGCTACTTTTTGCACTATAACTCTTTTCACAATATTGGCATTTAAAAGGTTTTTCTCCAGTGTGGGTCCTTTCATGCTCTACACATCCCCTTTTGGTTTTTAAACTCTTTTCACAATACTGGCATTTGAATGGCTTTTCTCCAGTATGGGTCCTTTCATGTGTAATACAACAATCTTTTCTACTATAACTATTTTCACAATACTGGCATCTGAATGGTTTTTCTCCAGTGTGGGTCCTTTCATGTTGTTCCCATCCATATTTGCTTTTAAAATCCTTTTCACAATATTGGCATTTAAATGGCTTTTCCCCATTGTGGGTTTTTTCATGTTTTAAACATTTACATTTCTCACCAAAAGCCTTTTCACAATACTGGCACTTGAATGGTTTTTCCCCAGTGTGGTCTCTTTCATGTACTAAACAACCCTGTCTGCTTTTAAAACTCTTTTCACAATACTTGCATTTGAATGGTTTTTCTCCAGTGTGGTCTCTTTCATGTACTAAACAACCCTGTCTGCTTTTAAAACTCTTTTCACAATACTTGCATTTGAATGGTTTTTCTCCAGTGTGGTCTCTTTCATGTGTTATACAGATATTTTTTGTGCTGAAGCTACTTTCACAATACTGGCACTTGAATGGTTTTTCTCCAGTATGAGTCCTTTCATGTGTTAAACGTCTACTTTTTGTGATAAAACTCTTTTCACAATACTGGCATTTGAATGGTTTTTCCCCAGCGCGGTTCCTTTCATGTAGTAAACAACCCTGTTTGCTTTTAAAACTCTTTTCACAACACCGACATTTGAAAGGTTTTTCCTCCATTGTGTTTCTTTCTATGTAAACGACTAACTGGGATATATAATTCTATAGCACTTTTCACAACATATTGTATTTTAATGATTTATCTTGAAATTGGGTAATTATAAAACAGCAGTAAAACAGTATTTTTAAATTTTCCTATTACAACATCAGCACATGGATGGTTTCTCTCCAGTCTGAGTCTTTTAATGTATAAAGCAGCTGGTTCTGCTAGTAAATCTATTTGTACTTTCTAGTAAGCAGCTAGAGGCAATCGCAGTAGTCAATTCCACAGTGGCTGTGGTTGTGATCAGCTTTGTGGCGGCGAAGAAAAGTAAATTATGCGCATATAAATGTTGCAGTCTCACCAGCGACAAATTCTTGATGATATACAGCAAAATTGCATGTTTCTGGTCATCCTTTTCTTTTTGTTACCAGAAACAATGTGTACAGGGGATATAACCTGGAGAAATATGTGAAACTCGGAAGAAACCACACCAGTAAAAGGGGTAATGTACTAGTCATCGATACGATTTATCTTACAATATTCAAGACAAGCCATATCCCATATACGTGTGCCTGATATCTGCACAAGTGTCCCCATTGTGATAGGGGAGATCAGCATAAGAGTCTCAATTGTGTTAGAGGAGATCTGCATAAGTGTTCCCATTGTGTTAGAGGAGATGTACATAAGTGTCCCCATTGTGTTAGAGGAGATCTGCATAAATGTCCTCATTGTGTTAGAGTGATCTGCATTAAAGTCCCCATCGTGGTAGAGGACATAGAGACAGGTTCATTCCCCTAAGCTTATCCCGATCTATACAATTAAAAAGTGTCGATAGATACACGTCCCGAAAGATGTGTCTAATAGCATACAGGTTTCCGGTACTTTAACGTGCCTATAAGTCCACGTACAGATATACGCCCGTAAAAATCCAAGAAAAATTAGAACTCCATATAATTATTGGAAATATTGATTAAGGCACCGAGTGTTTAGAACGAATGGCATAAAAAGTAAAACCTTGTTTACTTTTGCATCACATCCATATAAATCTCCGCCAGGCAACAAAATTACCCCGATTGGAACAGTGCATGACACATTTTGATTGAGGAGTTGCTGTTGAAATCAGTCTCAAAGAACGGCGAATCTATAGAATGTTGTTCTAATATTTTGACATGGCTCTAACCCCGGCCGCAGCCCACTCCTCTACAGGTAAGGTTTGGGGAAACTACCCCAAGAAAATTTTGATATTTTGCAGCAAAATGGTAAATTTTGGTAGAATTTCACACAAAAAAACTGAAGTATTTATGTAGTTCCGATAACCTGCTTTTTAGGTTATTGACCCGCCAGTTTTGGTGTTTGGGAAGGCAAACGGTGCCATTTGGTACCGTTAAGAACTATGGTTCAGCTATTCTAAATTTTAATTTAGTGAGGGGAATATTGATGTGATTTTTTTTTCAGAAATTGAGGGTCGTTAGGACCATCCTGACTTCCCTTCCTAAACCCGCCACTAAAAGTTTATTATTATTATTATTATTATTATTATTATTATTATTATTATTATTATTATTATTATTATTTAGCAGCGATAGGTCTTTTACGCCTCCATTCCCACTGCTCGGAGCGGCAGTAGGTTTTTTAAAAGAAGCAATTTAAACTTATTGTGAACAAATACGACTTACTTAAAAGCCGTTGTGACAGGAATGGTATCAGTCCGCTATTTGAACCGTTGCTCTCTCCCCTTTACTTTTTACAGGTGATTCGATCGAACAATGGCCTTGAATAGGTAGCCCCTTTTTGTCGGGGTAAATTAATTTGGCGGGGAATTCCCAGACACTGTTAAGATGCCAGTATCTGTATCCTTTAATCTTTACGCTTAACGAAAAAAAAAGTGAGTCACACCTGGCAAACCACAACTATTAGTTCCGGGATGGCTCTTTGTGCATGCGCATGTCATACTAAAAAGACTCGTAAAAATAATGGCCATAATGTTTTCTTGGAAGATATAAATAAATATTCGAGACGCTTTAATTGGCTGTGTCTGAAGCCTTGAAATATGCCAAGGGCTCACACGTCTTCCGTGTTGATACAGGTATAGGCTATTAGGCTACTTGTCAGAAGCGTACAGATCTGTTTCTTTCTCGTGTCAATATTATAACTCTTATACATGTATATCTTTAGACGTTGAAACAAATGATACGAGAAATCGTGTTATCTTGTATCTTTTCATCACAAGAGAGACGAAGTAAACAAGGCATTAGTTGGACATTAAGATCACTTGCTTCACGATGACCAATGGGACGAACAGAACTGTTTTGTGTGGTTTTTTTCCGGACCAACCCCATCGTTGTGTAAGTATATCAATCAATCAGACTCCTTTAATAATCAAACCGATTTAAAGGAATAATAAAGATACTAGTACCGAAGTTATTAACTTGGATCTCAAATTGCTTTTAAAATAGAAAAAATATGTGATTATGAGATGAATCAATAAAAAGCTTATTGTTGTTTGTTTTATTTGTCCAAGGTTTAACTAAGAAATAACTATTTTTAGAGCAATGATACTTTTAATCAATACCAATTTATCCTGGGGGCACTAGATAAAATCTGGGCACCAGGTTTAAGAAGGAGCTAGAGAAACAAAGGAAGAATTTTTCCTGCAAAGCTTCAAATAATTTTGACACGGACTTGACCCAGCTTACCCCTCCAAACTAACAGGGTGACATGGGCAATTTTTACAAACAAATAATTAAACTTAGATGTATCAGAGCTCTGTCGTGTCGTAAAATTGGTTGTTCTTGGGAGCCATGCATCCACATGTAAGGTGAATGAAACCGTATGTTAGTTCAACTCAGAGGTGGATCCAGGATTTTTCGAAGGGGGTTCCACATATGCGAAGCTAGCCTCCTTTTAAATAAATATACCGTTCTGGGTAATAAGAATATTGAAACTTTTTTAATTGCGAGAATATTTCTGACTAAATGATGATTTTATTATTAATGGAAATTAAGCTGCGATGTGTGGTACATATGCTGTAATTACGCTGTCCTTCATCTCTTGCGTTAGTCTACATTTTGCTGGGAATTTTAAAAATCTGTGCGTACAATTTTTAAAGGTCTGGTTACGCCCCTGACAGTTACAGTGGAAGGACATCTAGTAAAAACCACATGCAGAGACACCACTGGCGTACAAGGTGGATGTGACATCTATTTCCCCAGTAAACATATATGCACATACATTGAATCATGGTATATCTAATAATTTCAGTAAAGACATTTAATTTATTTTCCCAGGAGTTGGTCGCCGGTATCTATACAGGCGTCGCATCTTTATCTTTCGTCTTCAGGTAGGTTCTTCGATACTGCTGGGTTTTGTCAATGTGGGTAGGTTTTCTACAGTTCATTGTACTAGCATCAGATGCCGCTAGGCGACGGCGTGTAGTTATGCAAAAATGTGAGTAGCTGGGGCATAGCCAAATAAATGCATGTTTGTGAATTTCTGGTGGACAAAATTCTCTCTATGACTCTGGCAGAAAGGTGTGTGTGTGTGTGTGTGTGGGGGGGGGGGGGGGGGATAGCAAAAAACCAACGAGGACAGTTTCATTAAAATGTGTAGGACACGGAAATGTATAATGTGTTATACTATACAAGGCATAGAAAAAATATATTAATTGAGCACGAAATCGTATAATTTGCCTATTCGTTGACTCTGTTTTGGATACACAGCATTTGATAAATAATGATGGTGATAATACATAAAACGGAAAATAAACGTCGTCACTCAGCTGGCATATCAAGTATATCAAGTACAGTAAGATCGTATTATGGGTAGATTGCATGATAAATTGAAACTAAAGACTCACACCTGAAACGGTCTAGTGAGCATGAATGCGAAGCACAGGGGCCATTATTAGAGAGAAAAAAAAACATACTTAACAAAAGAGTGTCAACCGAAAACAATAACAAGTTGATTACTATTTATGGTATTAACTTAGTCGGCTAAACTCACAAAGCCGACTACTTAAAATGGACTTTAAACGTATTACATTATTTCAGTATCCTGGTGGTCGCGTATATTGTGCTCTTCAAGCGTTATGTGTACTTCTCCCAGCGTCTCATTATGTACCTCTGCATCACTTCCACTTTTGACAACATGACACACTTTTGGGTGAGACGTTTTTTATATTTATTAGTGTATTATTTATACTGTTGTATATTGGCCCAGTTGATTATCCATTTATTCATTTTATGCTTATCTGTTCATTCTGGCGCTTAATTTAATTGTCTCCTTCACTCAGTCTTTCAGTTTGTCGTGCATTTGTATACGCCTTTAGATTTATTAACCTCTCATTTTAATCTGCCCCATTCGTGTGTTAATTTACTTATTCATTCACCAAGAAAATCATGTAAGTGAATGTTACATAAATTTCTCTTTAGTTGGACTCATGTCAAGCCCGTCTCTCTCTCTGCCCCTCTCTCTCTTTCTCTCTCTCTCTCTCTGCCCCCCCCCTCTCTCTCTCTCTCTCTCTCTCTCTCCCCCCCCCCCTCCAATATTATTAATNCACACACACACACACACACAAGATCTCTTCTGTAGGCTACGTATGTGCATTTCAGTGCGATGTATTAGGATCCCCCTGTCTTTGTCAATATGTTAAGTGATGTATCCTTACATTAGACAGGTGCGTCCACCCACAACCCGACGCTTTGTGAAGCGCAGGCATTCTTTGAGCAGTTCTGGGGTAAAAGTCATAACTGTCTCCCTTTCCCCATTTCGGTAGCCCGATCTTACTCTCTCTCTCTCTCTCTCTCTCTCTCTCTCACACACACACACACACACACATTGTGACACTCTCTCTCTCTGTCATGCACACACACATAAGCACATGGCAAAACACATACAGAGTAGAACCTTTTGTTTTACATGCCTATTTAACGCGCACATAAATTTCACATCCCGAAAAATTGCCGAATTTTGTAAGCAATTTACATTTAATATACATTAAACATTTGCTATTCATTTCAGGTTTTCTAACGCTATTTTGGGAAGCTGTGATCACGCTGAATATGTTTGTACTGATTAGGAAAAATCACTCTACTCAGGACTTTGAAGAGTACGGTGAAAACGTTATGGAGAAAATGGGGATTGCTACATTTATTGTTTTTGATATTTTGCATTTGTTCAATACCAACATGGAAGTCATCTTCACTTAGGGGCTTAAAACTCATTTCAACCTCTACATCCGTTGATTTTTTTATTTACATGCACTGTGAAACATATGATAATGTCACGTTTCATTTTATTCACATTCAGACATCCAATATTGCTGATACATTGTCATTATGTCTATTTTTCTTGCAGCATTTACGTCATATCTGGTGTGATAATCACCGTCATAGTTGCCACAGTTCCGTTTACGCAACAAGCATATGGCCCTTCTGGAATCTACTGGTAAGAAAAATATATAAAAAGGGAAAAAAGGTACATATATAATAACTTTGAATATATGAATCAATTCCTTATTAAACATGTCAATTTTACTCAGTTTTGAAATTAATTTTTTTTAATTTTTATTTATATATCATACAAGGAGAGAGAGAGAGAGAGAGAGAGAGAGAGAGAGAGAGAGAGAGAGAGTAAAAATTGCCTAGTTTATGCAATACATTTGATAAAATAAGTAACAAGTAAATGCTTCATTTTCAGCTGGGTGAAAGATAACTATGTGGCGTGGAGGATTGGGATGTAAGTACTGTAATACGCTACACTGTAAAGAAGCCAATGAAAGAGAGGAACAACCTAATGCTTCATTGAAACAAACTATAAGAACTGAAGATGGAATGAAAGAAAGAAAAGACGAACTGACTCTGACACGGTCTAGCAAGTACGGAGGGAATTCGCGAAATAGAATGTCAAATATTCAACAAAAATGCACAATTAACATACGGTTACTTACGTTCAGAAAAATCGTAACTTAAGTGAAATTGGGTTTTTACATGTAAGGTCTTTTTAACATCATGGTATCCACTTTGCTTTTCTGTTTCGTACCAAAATAACTTGAATTATCTTCCTTGTCTTCACACTACGGGGCCTTTACCCCTTGTCACCAGTTCGCTTCTACGTGTACCTGTTTACCGCGATCAAAATAATATCATGTTAACTCTTTAGATAACTTTTTGGCATAATATCCAGCCTTTTTTTCAATAATTAAAAGTTGTAAATCTCTCCAAATGGTGAAAAACAGAAAAGTTTTGAGTCACGATATGAAAAGAGCATAAAAGAGAGTACAGCAAAAGCGACAAAAGCCGCAATGCCAAAAAAAAAAAAAAAAAAAAAAAAAAACATTGAATTGGGCGGGAAATAGTTTAGCGAGGTTTTATGTTATTTGTGAAGAAGTGTCGCCAATATTTCAGAAAAAAAGCATGATTAACAATCATTAACAATTAACAAACGGCTACTTCAGGAAAACAATAAAATGCTTTCAAAAGGCTTATTATCTTCTTAATATTTTCAGTTGGTATGGCCCACTGTATATTTTATTAGCACTGATGTTTACCTCTAACATCTATATTGCCTGGTACCTTCGAAAATTGGTGAGTTGCTGAAATTTCTCTAATAATTTCTAGTGCTTGTGTATCGTTCTGTGTCTAGTCAGTGACAATGTTTTCAGAGATTTCGATTTCCAATTTGACATTTTTCAAATTGTCAGTAACCTAACGGGTTTTTAATGGGCAAAAGGCAGGTTCCAATCATTGTCTTTAATTTATTTCAGAACCAAGGGTCGGTTATCAGAGATCGAGGCCAGAACCCAAACCTGGAGCGAATGATAGTAGGTTTCATAAACACACTGCCTTACTGCGACTATCTTTACGTAATAATGACGTAATCATGACGTCAATATGTCATGCGATTATGTGGTGACGTCAGTGAGATTATTTTTGTACTTAAGGGTATTTGCTTCAATTTTGTCAATATATAGATTAATCCCGTTCGATTGTTTGCAAATAGTGCAATAATGCGTTTGTTCACATTATGCCATGAGCGTAAGCGACTGGTCATAAGAGTCTTGCAAATTTGATGTATTTTACGGTAACGTGTCTATATATTACTACCTCTAATGTTACTGTTTTCTTTTAACAGTCTCGTGTTAACCAAGATGTGCGGACACTCCTGGGCTATCCTATAGTTTACCTCGTACTGGCGATATTCACTCTGGCAAATAGGTATGCCATTGGCGACTTCAGTAGTGGATAGGGAGGGGGGGGGGGGTGCGCAGTGGACTAGGTTTTTTTTAATGATATCTTGTCACCCTTCTCCCAAAACGCCTTATTTAGTGCCTTACATACATTCTTTTGGGCAAAAGATAAATCTTCTATATTCAGTGGCTATAAATTAATCAACATTTACACATATGTCATTTTACGGGTGAGGTCATAACTGCAATTTTGTGGAAAAAATGAATTAATAAATAAATGCACAACACGGTATCATATAACAAGTGAAGCCATCGAGACCCACCCAAGCAACCTCACTTCCCCAGTACCCCACACATAAAAGTAAAATCGTCGATTTCGTTTTATTTTTCGGTGTATACTTGTTTCATTCCGCCATTTTCATATAAATTGAATTATATTTATTTATGTATTTGTTTATTTATTTATCTCAATACTCATCATTGATTTTTCTTTCTTTCTGTAGAATACACAACGCCGGCCATGGAGATGCCCAGTCGAACTTTGGGCTGGTTGTGATATACACTATTTCTATCACCATCACGGGTGAGTGCTCGTTTTCTTCATTTCTTTTTTTCTCTCTTTCACNTAATCATTGAGCAATACAGTTTTAAGCATGGCACCAGGTAGTCTGATCATTATACGTATCGAGTGTGTGTGTGTGTGTGTGTTTTGGAGGGTGGGGGGTGGGGGGGGGGGGTTGAAGCCAAATCTCTTACGTGGTACAAGGTATAGGCAGATATTTTTAGCTGCTGTTGTAAAAATGCATCACAGTAAATTTGAGCACAGAACACAGCTGATGGAATTCTTTGATCAGAAAAGAAATCCTACCCTAGGTTCTAGATTCCGGTATTGCCAGCTCGATCTTGATTTCATATATAACCCATAGTAGCAATACCAGGCTCTAGCGAACAGTGGCAACTCGGGGCGTTCTTCTTCAAAATTCTGCCTGGGGCGCTTCCATATTTGGAAGTCACACGTCACAGCTGTGTCCGCCTGGATCCATATTTGGAAGTTATAAGTCTCGTACGTCACAGGTTTGGCCGCCTGGAGCTGCCTTTCCCGCCTTGCGCTGAAGTCTCGTGCAGGCGAGACAAGAAGCAATTAAAGTGCCTGACACGGAGTTAGAAGTTTGAAATGAAAATATCTTGCAGTCGAAGGTCAGTGCCACAATACAAGCAACATTCTGCTGTAAAAACTTATTTTCGTGTAGCCATTGCGCAGCCCTTATAGTGGTATCGGGCATACAGTGTAGCTGTCAAATTTGATACACGGCAAGCACATGTATTGTGCACGTGTATATCTCAGGACTAAATGTTCTTTGATAAGCAAAAAATACAAAAACATTGGATATATCTTTTCTTTCCGAAGAATATTATTTATTTTTTCACTTTACATCTAAAATACAGCAAATAAAATTAAATAAAGCAGAATTAAATTTGTTTTACGTTTTATTTTGGTCTAATGACATTCAACTGCATTTTCATTGCGGATCAGTTCTATTTGATTGATGGAAAACTTTCATGGCCGCTGGTCTTCAGAGTTAGTAAAAGCGACTCCACCACAAGGTATATTTAGCAAGCTAGCTTTTACGTTGCTCTGACACTCAGGTTAAGAAATCCCCTCTTTCTCTCTCTCTTTCTCTCTCTCTCTCTCTCTCTCTTTGTGAAAGGAAAGAAACCCCTTTGCAGACCAGACCCTGAATACAGACGGCGCGCAAAAAAAAAAAAAAAAAAAACTTTTTGGTTTCAGTGACGTCCTATAACTTTTCATTACGTCACAACATAATTTATCATATGCCCTAATAGTGACCATACCCCCCGTACACATACTTGTTTTCATTCGAAGGTAAATGCATAATAAACAACTAAATCGTCCATTTGGAAAATTTTATTCGGGAATCACTGAAAATAATCACGAAGCACGGGTGTACATGTAGTTTCTCTTCTTTTTCGTATCGCTCTGGGTCGCGTAGCTCCGTCTCACGCAGGTGGCTGGAATTGAAATATATATATATATATATATATATATATATATATATATATATATATATATATTGTATAGTCAAGGAAAATAGTAAAATGTATACAATTAATCACGTTTTTTTGTCACGAAAAACTTGACAAGTGTGGACGTATATAAAGACGGAATACAATCAAATGTGGTTCGTGACAAGAAGCTCTGGATGCCCCACTCTACTGTGAAGTAACGGGTTCAATTGGTGTAAATACAATGCGCGTTTGCTCTTTAAATTACCAAAAAAACTGGAAATTTTAACAGTTTGTCGTTCATCATTAGGGTATACAACATTTAAAATTTAAATAATTGTAAAACTGTTTTCGAGATCTTAGTTCCGAATTTCTGCAGTTATAAGTGAAATTCATCAGTTTTCATCTGTATTATTGATTACGAAAGCAATGAAATGAAAGTCCTTGCTTTGCACTACAATAAACAGTCATCTAACAGATCTTAAACCATGAACCTACACTTACCCACTGGTTCTTGCAACGGCAAGACGTAAGGCAAGTTTGCCGTATTGGCTTCACTCCTTTAGGAGCCGGTGCAGGGCCCGGGCACCACATTTTACACTTGCAATCCTTTGGAGAACAATTTTGGCAGTCGACATTGGACGCTCTCACGTCGCTGACAAAGAACAACATACAGACCAATGTTAGAACAAGAAGCAGCTTCATCGTGTAGTTGGTGGGTTGGGTGCAGGTTACTATGCAGCAGGTCCTCGACGAAAAGAACAGAGCTTCGTTTTGTATCAGCTGGCAGCTCACAAGCTATGAGTACTATGTCAATTTGAGGGGTTTTATAACTGAGTAATTCGCCGTTAACAGAGTATCGAAATTTCTAATTTGGAATAATTGTGCAATTTATCAGAGTGAACAAATTATGCATCATTTTGTTTGGAATAATTGAGTTTTTTTCTCATTGTGAAAGGAATTGACACCTCGATAGAATGCTTGCAATTTACTATTTTTATTTTTTGGGAAGTAGTTGATGGGAAATTTGCGCTTACACGTAATTTAATGCATGGAAACAGCTGTGCTGTAAAAAAGTCACGAGCATAAACGAAATAGACAGGAAATTTTCGCTTATTATCTGAACAAAAATTGATCCAGGGTGATAACAAATGACAAATTACTTTTTATTTATTACATAAACCATAAATTGCAGATCAAAGTTCATGAAGTTGTTTTCGTGGCGCGGAGCGGCTCTGCAGCCGTAATTTCCATTTACTGGAAATGAAATTCAACGTTTTTTGGATCTGAAGGCCGCGTATAATTGTTTTAGATACGGTAATGAAGGGGGGTTGATATCATCATCAATTATTATTATTATTATTATTATTATTATTATTATTATTATTATTATTATCGAACAAAGCTAGGCTACTGACTGCTAGCATTGCGGGTTGAGCGTCCACCACCGGAGCGGGAGAACGTGGGTGCGATCCCGTCCGGGGACATACCAGCCCATCTTAAACGGGCTCTAATATCTCAGGACCCACTAGCATAAGCCTGCTGCAAAATTGAAGAAGAGCCGAGTCAGAGATTTTGTAAGAGACTCATAGCGACTCCTATAGTCAGAGAGTAACGGACTGTGTATAGGACTATACAGTGCCTTGCAGAATACTGTTTCTGTCAAAACCCGCCTGATACATTGTGTGGACGCATGTCTGCGTTCGACCATTGTTAAGCTCATCGGTTTTTCACAGAAGAATTTCATCAGCTGCGTTCTGTTATAAGTATAATTTAATTTTTTTCTTCAATCAAAAGCCATTAATATTGAAATTTTTAGTTATCGAAATATTGGTGGTAAACTTTTTCAATATTTATAGTTGTTTTTTGAAGAAGAGTAAAAATTAATTTTTATTATCATCGTTTTTTATTTTCCTTTCCAGGAACTTGTAATGCTGTAGTATTCGGTTGGAGCTCTGAAACTAGACACAACCTCAAACCGAAGATATTTTGGGTAGGAAAATGAGAAAATGAAATATTTATATGCTACATCGTGGTAAAATTCGCTTTTGTTCAGTGTAATAATGGCCTCTTTAACCTTGAAATTTAAAAGAACACAATTCATGTTATCGAAAAGATTATAAAAAAGAGCCTTACCCAAGGGTTTTTAGATGATTAACTCTACCTTTTACGGCCAAATTGTCGGTACGTCACCAAAACGAAAATTATCAACAAATTTACGTCCAATCGTTGCCCTTAATGGCCTTTCTGATATTTTTAAGGCCCACTTGAAGACTTTCTACAAGGCCGAGCAAACCGACATCTACGAATTCCCATTAGACCAATCAGCCCCTGGTGGGGTCGGGCAAGATCCAGTTTGGTTTGTGACGTCACCAACCACTGCGCAGGCGCATGTGGAAGCGGAGTACGGGCAGAGTAACCCAATTGCCCTTGATGAAACTGACATTTGATAATTGACAATGTATTTGACAATGTAGAACGATATATTTGTGTGCACTAGAAGAATTGGGAATGGATTATTGTCTGTTAGGCCCCGTTTACTGTTTTTGTCCAGTTTAGTGAAATATTTAGTCTGTTTTATGGCAGCGCAAACATTTGTAATGTGTCAGACCTATACTGACAAGGGCTAGATGAACTACCATGCGTTAATCTTGAACTGAAGAAGAACAATTTTGTTATGAGAGCAGAGACTTTTTATCAAACTGTGTTAATTCGAAATGTGTAAAAGGGCAGTGACGCCGTCAGGATCTCCATTTTAAAGTATTCTATACGGATATCAGAAAAAATGTCCTAATGATAAATCATTGGTCAATACGTCCCATTACTTGGGGTTGGTGGTCTACATATGATGATATGATACTGTACAAGTATCCACCGATACTTGCTATTAAACCTAACGTGACCAATTAACAGGCGTGAATGGAACTTCGACAATGGAGAAGTTTTCCCCCGCCAGCAGTGAATCCCCAGATCGGATTTAGATACCCAAGATTGTTATCATTTATGAGTGTGTGAAAAAATAAATTTTCAGACAAATTAGAATAGAAAGAAGTGAGGTGGGTCGACCGGGGTGGGTGGGGGGGAGGGGGGTCAGCGGACGACTGACCTGTAGGGTCAGTGGTTATAAAGCAGTGTGCAGTTTTAGACTGTAGGACGCTGTAATTGTCCAGTATTTCCCAGGGAGTTAAGTTGCATTTTTTAGCTTATATATTTTACTAACAGAGTATTGTGTGATTTCACACGTTACTTCATTAAAGGGATAAAAACTTTTCATTTTGAGCAAAAAAGGGGGTTTTCCTGAGGTAAACAACGATTTTCCCATAACAACCAATAATAAATGAATACGTTCTAACATTCAAAGTTAATCCCTGTTTTTTTTTTTCTAAAAATGTTTTTCTTGTTATTATCTCTTAAGAGATTATTATGTGGTCGGATGACTAGCACGGATTCCACAATAATTGCGATTACCGCCGTTTTGGTGGTTAAATAGAATTTATTATATTTCTGTGGATATTTTACAATATATTTATCGGGGAATATAGATCTCATACGAAGAGTTGTTATCCGTTTTTAAAAAATCGAAAAGTACATGCGTGGTGACACACAAAAATCTTAGTCCATTAGATCTTATCGTTATGGCACTTTGTATGTAAGGGCGGGTCAGCTATGACCCTCATATTTTGTCTTTGGAGCTATAATGTCTCTTACTAACTCTGCTGTACTTGTAAACTGCACCAACTCGGATCTTATTGAATTGTTGCCCAACGACATGCTGAATGTCCTACAACTTAACTGCAGTCATTGAGGAGCATATATTGGGTAGCTTAAAAACGTCACTAATCTCAAAGTTCAATAAATTCAACAGTTTCGGGATATATAAGAAATTAACGTTTTTCATAAATTCCGAAAATTACTCTTCCTATCATGGCGATGAAGTCGATAAGCAAATTAATTTTGTAGAGATTATGATCAGCCAGAACGAACAAGTACTCTTCAATTAGTCAAATAAGCTCATCATTTTGTTTATGATCAGATCACATTCTTTATTTGTCATCATCTTATTTTGTTGAGAAACGCACCTGTGAGCGTGGCCTTCCACATATACATAGCGTGTGAGTTCAGACATATGAGGAAGCATCTGCATGATACGGAAATCATCTTAAGACACTTAAAAGCACTTGCACACCTCATCCAGATGTGACACATCATTTCCCGACCACAGCCTCGTTATCGACGCCACTGTGTCTATTGCAAGCGGTGCAAACTTAGCCAAACCGAGGATCGTCGCTGCAGCAGAGTTTCCCTATCTCTGAGTTATATTCCCCATCAGCTTATCAAAGGGTTATTCCGCGGTCAAACTGTTGAAAAGGAATCACGAAAAGGCGAAAACAACAAGAAAAAAACACCTTGAGATTGATAATAGTTCGTGCCAAAAGCTTCTGCGTTTCCAAGGCAATGATTCAGGATTTTACGAGAGCTTATGAAATTTTGAGTTCCACACTTTTGATGTCAAGAAGAAATTGGGAGTGTTATAAACCAGGCAAACAAATCATTTTTGCACGTCGATCACAGTATCATTTGACTGTTTTAGCAGATAATATTGAAAAATGGATAATGAGCATACAAACGTGAAGGTGGATGAAACGGAGATGCAAAGAGTAAGTTTATGGTCCTGCAGAATTGCAAATTCTACTTATGAATTGATTTTTAAAGAAACTCATGGGTACTTATCGAATTGTAGGCCTATTGCATAATTATGGGTACTTACCGAATTGTATTGTATAAGGGCACTGGAAACAATATGGGCACGAGGGCACTGTAGTTCCCGGTTTTCTTATTTTCCATATGTTGTCTCCAAATTTTGTCTCCTGTGCTCAGCTGTTGATTTACTAGATTCTAATGTGCAGTAAAGGAGCTTTCGGATATATTAAAATGCATATATATATTTATAAAATGCAGACTTAAATCGGGGCATTATCGAAGGCCTTCATCACGTCGTCCCCGTCTGTATCGGAACGTTTTGACTGGTCCCAACATTTACGCTAATGGGGTGGGAGGGAGTTGTTGTTGTTGTTGTTGTTGTTAATGGCGGTGGTGGGTGGATGTATCCTTTCACAAGGTCATTTCCAATTATTTGGACCTATCAAAACTAATCGGTATGACTGGTGGTGTCAAGAGTAGGGGTTCCGTTCACATCACTCTATTACGTAATAAGTGGATTTAAAAAATGTCTCAAAACGTTGCGACACATAAAGGTATACAGCACGACGTGAATCAGAATAATCTTTTTCACCCCATTTCCATAGATTTTAAGATCGATCTATCCCTGTGGGGAGTCTCACTAGATTACTGTCAGCTTGGCCAGCTTAAGCGTCTGTCCCGCCTACTAAAAGCTGTAAGGGGGTAATTAACTATGGTGCCCGCTCGGCTGACTGCAATTTAGCGTGAACCTCCAGGGAGTTAGGTCGAACTAAATCTTAATCTTTAGATCGATCTAAATCTCTGGGAAAGCACCCTTAAGCTTGATATTTTTCATTGATCTCATTACCCCCAGGAGCCTGCAGAGGTCACCTCAGACGGCCAATATGAGCAAGAATCCAAGGACCCCGTGTCGCAAGAAACTGAAACCCCTAAGCGCGATGTTTCAACGGGAGTGAAAACACCGGCGACAAGGACCCTAGACGCGTTGTACGAACAAGATCATTGTAGGGACGAAGACGAATCAATAGATGGCGTTCTGGGCATCATAGATCCGGGGGATACTGGATCAAAATGGTGGATTTGGTTAATTTTAGTCTACGGCATGATTATAGTCATGTTAGGGTTAACGGCGTTGGTGATATACCTCATGGTAATGGGAATTACCGGTAACTGAGATGGAAAAAAAAAAACTGACAAACGAAGCATGAAGCTACTTTATAATTTTTTTTTGAAAGTATATGAAACTATATATATATATATTACTCATGACTGATCCGACCGAGGAAAATGCCTTTAAATTTTTTTTGGCGTTTGAACCAACATACTTACTATTTTTTNCGGCACTGGTGATATACCTCATGGTAATGGGAATTACCGGTAACTGAGATGGAAAAAAAAACTGACAAACGGAGCATGAAGCTACTTTATAATTTTTTTTTGAAAGTATATGAAACTATATATATATATTACTCATGACTGATCCGACCGAGGAAAATGCCTTTAATTTTTTTTTGGCGTTTGAACCAACATACTTTCTATTTTTGGGGACGAATACATTGCAAACTTTGAAGCAACGTAACTGCATCGTTAAAAGGGATTGTATATTATTGCACTTTCAAACAAAAACAACTAGTCTATTTTTACTATTATGCAAAAGAATCGTCTGGTATATTATAGTTTCTCACCTCAGCGTAGAGCATTAGGGCTTATAAGGAGAAATGTATATTTTAATATAATGTTAAAACAAAAGTTCCATTATGATATCCGGAGGAGTTTGAGAGCGTTTGTGAACAAATAAGTGCAAACTATTTTAACTGAATGAAAACATCGCTCCAACCGTTTCCTATTAAAGAGAAGCCACTATAGTTTCCACCAAATCAGTGTCGGATTTAGAGGGGGGTCAGGGGGGTCCTGCCCCCCCACCCCCCTCCAATTTCTGAAAAAAACAAATCACACCAATGGTCCCCTCTTGAAATGATAATTTGACTAGCTGTAAACCGTACCAAATGGCACCATTCACCCCCTAGAATATCGATTTTTTTCGGGGCCCGCTTAAGGGCCCCGAACCCCACGGCAAGAAGGGGGGGGGGAGGATCCGAGGCCGCGGACACCCCTCCCTTCAAATAATCCTGAATCCGCCCCTGAAAATTGTCAATTGTCATGTTTGTGGTACTGGTATTTCATCTTATTTCTTTCTGTCTTACTGTCTTTCTTTTTATTTTTATTTCTATCTATAAACTGGTAATATTTTCCTCGTAAGCTTGTTGAATCACTTCATTAACTTTCACCATTTTGTTGCATCGGCTCAGATCTTTTGGGACGAGTTGGTTGAACCCTTTCAGCGGTGTTTTCATTATTGTTGTCACAACGTTGAAACGCCAGTTGGGATTGCTCAGGGTGATTGTCAGCGTTTAATCAAATAATGGTGTTTGCTACCACTCTGACATAAGCATATACTTCATACTTTGTAGTACAATGTTCACTGTCAAGTTTTTGATCGCCATGTAAATGCAGATGGCGGTTGTATGTACTCAGTGTACTCCTGTATAGCACAAATACACTGATAATGTCGCCATCTTCATATAATCAGCGAATGCTTTTCTCGACACAGCATAAACAAGTAAATTGTTTGGAGTACTAACTAGTTCATAATGCTCTTGATAAACCAGTGAATTACTTTGCCTTCCCTTAACATTTTCAGCAATCAGTGGGAACAGGTGTGAATGAGGGTAGCTATTAATAAAGTAAATAAAAAAACAGGTATTTAACTTTCCATACCTTCGTTTTAAACGTAAAATCTTGGCGAGTTGTTGGGAACAGCGATCGGGATTTTTTTAAAGTAAAAATCTAAAGATAAAGCGCGTTTGAATGGCCTTGTAACAATTGCAAGAACAATTTCAAATATTTAGTTAAAATTGTCTGATCTCAAGCAATTTTTTAGTCCTTTCTAGTAGGTCTTGGGTATACACCCAAGACGGCACGTTTCCTGAAAGTTGTTTAAGGAACCATTTTCACAGATATTTGGATCAATCTATCTCACTAAATTGCTATCAATTTGGCCCGCTTAAATGTCGGTCACGCCTAGTAAATTATCTTTCCCCCTAGCTTATGCGGTAGGCGTGACAAACATTTAAGCCGGTTAAGTACATGTAGATACAAATTTAGTGAGACTCCCCAGGGAGTTAGACCGATCCAGATGGACCGATCTAGGCATAGGAACCCAGAGTGCATTCCCAGAGATTAAGATCGATTCATCCGGATCGACCTAACTCCCTGGGGGTTCACGCTAAATTGCAGTCAGCCGAGCGCGCACGACAGTTAATTACCCCCTTACAGCTTTTAGTAGGCTGGACAGACGCTTAAGCCGGCTAAGCTGACAGTAATCTAGTGAGACTCCCCACAGGGATAGATCGATCTAAAATCTGTGGGAATGGGGTTTAAGACGTTTTTAATGGGTACCGGTATGGGAGGTGTAAGGGTAACGTTCGAGTAAAGTCTTAATGTTCTTGTTGCACTATATGTATGATAAGAGCAGTATGCACGCACAGCAAAGACATTGCTCAAAAAAAATTAAACATAGGCTTAAACTTTTCGTTTGATAACAAAATTAAAATAGAGTATTACAAAAGCCTGCTTACCGCTGTTAATTTTAGACCTATGAAAGAATATACAACCTTGAACGTTACCAAGCGGTGTGTTTAAATTGGATTATGAGATGAGTCATACAATTGCAGTTTAAGTTCTCGAGATTTTGCTGCATAGCCTCTAATCCAATTCCTATTAACACTATCGGTCGATGTAGATCGACCGAACTTTGCAGAGAGTGTCGCTAAGTGCAATCAGCTGAACTGAATGACACGCCTCCTCTGGTTTCCAACGTATTCCTATAAACACCAGCTACACTCTGTAATAATCTCTTGAGAGAATATTTACAAAAAAAAAATAAAATAAAATAAATAAATAAATAAATAAATAAATAAATAAAAAGAAAAAAGAAAAATTAGACTAATATGGGAATAGATTCATTTACAATTGGTAAGTTCAGGAAAATTGTCCTTTACCCCAGGAAAATTCATTTTTTTTAACGCCAGGAAGAGGCGTGTTATTCAGTTAAGCAAGAGTCTCCGCGGAGTTGGGTCGATCCACTTAAACTGGTGGTTGAGCGGTTTTAAAAATAAGGAACGGATAGTATTCTTACACTTCAATTTGATACATGTACGTTATCGGCATTCACACTATTTATTTGATAACGTTATCTAAGCCTTCGGTATCCATGCACCCTTAAATTATACTAATGTCAGTGCTGTAGATTATAGTTATTCAGGTGCTTTGTTATTTATTGGACCAATCAGTAAATACATAACAAAGCAACTGAATAAACACAATCTACAGCACTGAAATAAGTATAATTTAAGGGAGTCTTATTTAACTCAAGGAACAAGGAAGTCAAGTGAACCGTATCTTGGGTGCATTCCACACTTCAATTTGATGCATGGACGTTATCGGCATTTACACTAACGTTTGATAACGTTATTTAAGCCTTCGGTATCCACCCTTAAATTATACTTATGTCAGTACTGTTGATTATGGTTATTCAGTTGCTTTGTTATTTATCGGACCAATCAGTAAATACATAACAAAGCAACTGAATAAACATAATCTACAACATTGACATTAGTTTAGTTTAAGGGAATCTTATCTAACTCAGGGAACAAGGAAGTCAAGGGTACCTTTCTTGGGTGCATTCCATTATTTTCTATCGTGCAATTCATTGGCTTTTTCTTTGTTTTTTGATAAAGTAATTTTGTTGGATCTTGTATGTTATCAAATAAATTACTGCGTCCGTGAAACGTTGATAACTTTGCGTGGTACAAACTGTCCTGGCAACTTAAATCTGACTTATTTCCAACAGTACCAGAGAAGGAAATAAAAATACTAATATTCATATGTCCGATTTGTCGGAAAGAATGAAACACACCGGACTGATCACTGTGTTAGGATTTCTTTTTGCTTTTACTCAAGGTAAGCAAGAAATGAGTGTTTTGTTCCTGGATGTAAGGTCTTAAGTAATTTTTACAATATTTATTTCTTGAAAAGGAATAAGTTTAACAAATATTAAACATATTGTGACTTATGTTATTGCATTATGTTATGTTATAGCATTCCGTTAGATTCGAAATTTATTTAACTGGTAATGTCATAATTCTTTACATAAAATGTTCGCACTTTTTAAAATATTAAAGTATTAAATTTATAAATTTATTTAACTAATAAATCACAATAATTCATAATTATTTTAATTTATTTATCTAATTTATTTAACTGGTTATGTCATAATTCTTTAAATAAAATGTTGGCACTTTTTAAAGTATTAAAGTATAAAAATATTTATTTCCATAAAGCAAATCATTTTCGTGGTGGAAGCATAAGCTGGGAAGCGACGCCGAACAACCCATTAGAAGTAAGTGAGCATTTTTTACAGCTGGTCAGCTTGTAAGGAATACGCCCAGGCGTAATCTGCCATGATCCGCAATTTAGGCATGATCAGATTTAGTTCAAATGCTTGAGGTAGCTGTTGAAGTTATTTCAAACATTTATCTCGATACGAAAAGACGCTTAATTAAGGTTACGCCCAAGAGGATCTTGACTTTTTTTTTACAAAATATTATATTGCTTTCTGGGTAGACTTTTTTTGTGGTTTTTGGATGGTGGTAGATACACGCGGAATCTTTTACGGTATCACAGAGAGCATTCTGAAGCTGCTAAACAATATTTAATTACCCCCTAGCAGCTTCAGTAGGCGTAATAGACATTTAAGCCGCTTAAGTTGATAGCAATTTACCGAGAATCCCCATTGGAGATAGATCGATCCACAGTTATTACGATAGGGTCTGGGAATGCTCACAAAGACAGCTGATTCCTTCAAAAATGCAAGGGGGTTTTTCGAAGGCAGAGAGTAACACCAGTCAAAACGTGCTCAAACGCCACCACAAATACCAAATGACATACTAATTTTATATTTTCCAAAAATGATATACAAACGGATTTTTCAGATTTTCTGTGCTATAAATATTTCTCAGCAGTTGCACGCTCAGCTATACATCCATACATGGGAATAAGAGTGTTAGCTATGAGCAGCACTAAGTTATTTAGCAGACCTTTTTGAACTGAAGGGACAGATAAATAGGTCGAATTACGACCGTAATTTGAAGAAGGTGCAATTTAAAAGGAAGTTTTGGCTTAAAGAGAGATATAATTTGATAATAAAATTTTATAACTTGGCATGTCTACTTAATTTTAGTTGTTTAATAAATTTTAACCTAGCACAGGTGCTTTATGTGCGTTACTGGAAGTGCACGCTTGCTATGTGCCGATCGTAAAAAAAGGTATCAAAATGAATGCCTTAAAGTGAATACTTATCAATTGTGGTGTACCTTTGTATACACCATAAATCCAGTTACATTAAAGAAGGTATGGCTGTTTGATAATAAAGTCGGTTTCACTGCTGGATATTGCAACTATATCAAAACCGAAAATGAGTTCGACGATGTTTAACTTAACGCGATTTACATGTGGCACTGTTCATCGTGATAAAATTATTTTTTCTAGGCTGTTTGGACGCTTTCTGGAAGCTTGATATAGTTGCTTGATACATTTATCTGTTTTGAAGGTCCGAATAGCAAATATCAGTTTGGATTTACAAATTAAGATTGGCATATTACCAGTGACCGTTTTGATATCATATTTTCTATATATCTTAATATTCTCGCTTGCATCTTGATCAGTATGGCTCCACAATGAGAAGCTAGAAATTTAAAATAAAGACAGAATATTTANTTATAAAATGGTTTTATTGGATTTTAAATTATTGGTTTACATCTGGCTATAGGTCATTTTCCGTTACCGGACAGCATGGAAATTGTATAGAGGTCCGTGTGGATCCAACTGTTCGGTTCATAGCATAGGACAAAGAGGTTCTGATGGTAATGGAGCATGGAAGTGTTTATCAGGTAGGAGACTGTGCATCTTTAGGCAGATACCTGTAATTGTTCGTCTACGAGTATCAATAGTCACAGGCCATATCCCAATCTAGTCTAGTTATCAACTGGCCTAGGCCAGATCCCAATTGCAACAGGGTATTTGCAGATTGTTAACAGCATAACAGATCTAGATGAATACAAATTTTTCTCATTGCCACACCTGTATCATAATATATGCCTTCATCTATAATATCCTCTATTTAATTACGCACGCCATACAAACAAACTGGCAGCTCACTTGTAAATTACTTGGCCAATTAACATGCTCATTATGCTATTAACAATACAAAGACTCAGTTAGGATCTGGCCTAAAAACTGGATTAGATTGGGATCTGGCCTGCGACATGTATGTATGTGTATTTGTTCATGTATGTTTGTATGGATAACAACTCTCGTGTCGTTGCATCATGTCGTCCATTGAATAATACTAAGGAAGAATATATTGCAGTCAAAGCAACACTAGTATTACGCTTCTTTTACAATGTATCTATTTATAATGGCATCATTATTTGTTATTAGTGCTAGTGTTATTATTACTTGACGTTGAAAACGAATGATATTTTTAATCTCAAAAAAAGGTGAAGTAAGTTCTGCTTGAGACGATCACCCTGAAATTAAAGAGGTAGTTACAATGTCGGTATCAGACTAGGAAGTGTTAAAAATAAGCAAAGATTCATTTTAGAGAGCACACAATATTCATTAGACCTTAAATAGCAGAGTATTAATTTTACTGGATATTAAATTATTTTACCCCTTTGTCATAAAGGTACATCATATTCTTATCTGTTGACAAAATCACCATGTAATAAATTACGCAAAAAACTTAAACCTTTTATCTGCAGGGTGTTTAACACAGTTACCTGTACACGACCACGGTTACACCGTGACAGGAGTGAGCACGAGCGAAGACTGGGAACAAGGTGAAGAGACCTTCAACTACACATTTTCGAACCCCGGAAGTTTTTTGGTCGGGTACGGTTAAATTAAATGTCAATATTCCTTGATATCTTTTTGTATTTTAAAATGTATTTTGAACAGATATGTTAGAACTTCCTCTTTAAAAATCGTTCCAGTAGTATGGAATAAGATGATCACGCAACATCGAAACTTCCCACGCTTTTACATACCATCCCTCAAGCAAAAATGTCGAATGTTAGTCAACAATAAATTGTAACTTGGGCATTAAAATTAAGATTAACATTGTCTTTGAGTTTGCTTTGGAAGACGTTAAAACGTTGCCCACACAGCTTCAATTATTAAAAACATTATACGTGAACAGTTTTAGAGGGAGTGCTTGGATCGCTTTGGCTAATGACAAAGGTAGCAGATTTTGGAGCGTACAGACCATGGTGAATCTTGGCGTCCGCAATGACACAGGCAACCCTAATGCCAGTCCAGCCACATTGAGTCAACCCTTCTACAGGCAAGTTGTTTTTTTATTATATCACTGGCAGTTACATGTACTTGTGCCTACCGAGTATTACGCCGTAATTTCCAGAATTCGCTGGAGTGAAAAACATCGAATTCATTGATATTCAGAACTGCTTTTAGAAATCGAATATCAACTGTTAAAGTATAATTATGTGCCAATTTTGAGGTTTTGCCATTTTCTTGCTGTCACTATTTTACCACCTTTCTTTATCAAATTGAAACAAAACATTATGTACTGCTAGATTTGTTATATGAGGACACAAATAAGTTTCAGATTGTAGAATAAACTTTAAACATCCAATTGTAGCATGTTGTGGTGATAGGGACCACATTTTTTGTTTATGATGAACTCGCTTGTGGAAGGTTAAGCCATGTAATTATTTAAGAGTGCAAGCCGGATGCCCATTCAAGCTGGATATCCCTGTGACCGACGCTGATGGTGACCATGTCCGTTGCCGATGGTCACGAGGACAAGAGTGCGCTTCTGTTTGCGGCGCTCTTCCTGGAGCTAAGTTGTACTCAGTAAGTTGATTTTGCTTGCATACAAGCCGGCATCGCTAAACATAGAAAGAATATCATGGAAGTCCCTACCCCTTTGTGTAATTGAATATCCAAGGTACATGTATCAGGTTTGACCGATTTCAAATGCACTTTACTCAATATATTAAACTTCTGTTTTTCTGAATTCTCAGTTATATGTAAAAAAAAAATAAAATAAAATAAATAAATAAGGGATTTGAGTTATTGCCGTAGAAAAGACTGAGATTGGTTAACGAATGAGTATATTTGCTTCAAAGACTCCAATCTTTGTTGGCATCATCAAATCCCACAAAATAGCAATACGTCACACTTTCCAACTACACATTTCTTCCGTCAAGGAATTTTAGTCAATGAATAGGTATTTATTAACAGTTAGACCACGTCGTTGTAGTGGCGGAACGCTCGACCCACGCCACACCTGTCCGTCTTCATTTATTGTATTGATAATTCACATTGACATTTCTTGCAGAATTGCACCCTGGATATCCCACTGATTGCTGGATCCAACAGAGCAAGTCCTTGGCTTGCTGCTGCCATTACTATAGAGGACTTCCCAGTGTCAGACATAACGCAGGGTGGTGTCCATAAGACCTCTGCCACGCCCCTGTCATCCATACCATTACAGGTGCGTAGAAGCCGATACTATATTAATTTTTGGAAAATTTCAAAAAGAATACATGTATGCAAAAATAGCATAAATAATATATATGTAGATCCATTGAGTCATCAACATGTCACGAAACCATGGATAATTATATAGTAATGACCACATCTCGACATAATGATTATGCGTGTAGATTAAGACTGCATTCCCACAGATTTAAATCGATCCCTCTGGGTTCATGCTAAATTGCTGTCAGCCGAACGCGCACGGAAGTTAATTACCCCCTTACAGCGTTTAGTAGGCGGGGCAGACATTTAATCCGGCTAAACTGCCATTAATCTAGTGAGACTCCCCACGGGGATAGATCGATCTAAAATCTGTGGAAATGCAGTCTAAGTTTCTTGAACAATTTTTGTCATCCAGTAGAATTCGGATCAAGAACACAAATTAAATCCTTGAATTCTACCGTTAAATAACGTAGTGAGTTGTGTTTTCTCTGAATTTAAGGTACGTTCCAGAATTATATATATATATATCTATATATATATATATATATATCTGATTTTAAACGCTTTTCATACGTCTTTCTTGCATGTATTTGTACAATATATCGTGTAAGTCATGCATGATGAACAGGTACTGTTGTAGTTTCAAAAGCTCGTTTATCATTTTTATATCCCTACGTGGATGGCGCCATGGATCTGCCAGAATATTTTGTATTGCAGTTCTTGATGAAGATACAAAGCACTGGCAGGACACAAAACAGACAGGCATGCGATGTTAAACCATCTATACTGAATGCAGGCCAAAGCAGCAAACCCTTGCCTCTCCCCTTTGGAAGCCCGTTTAGGAAACGGGTGTTTGCGAATGCAAGCTCTACGTCACATCCGTATGTATATAACTGTAGTTAGTCTTAGCATTGGCGCCATTTTTATTAATTTATGTTCAATGTTTGTTATATTTAAGATATGCCACTGGTATAAATTTATTTTTATAAAAAAATTATATGCGTTTATTGATGATATAACGTGGTCCGTTATTAAGAAACATTAGTATCCATTTTGTATGAGTAAGGTATGATCTTAGTGAAATAAGGAAACAACAACTTGCGTGAAGGTTGCATTGATCTCTTTGTGAAATGCTTTATTTATTTATCTTATTTTTGTCCACCATATTTTAAAGATTTAATCCCCAAAACACAGAGTAAAATTACGAATGTTAGCTGTAATGTTCAACAATTTATCAAAATAATTTAAAGAATCCAATAACCTTTGTATAGAAGTATCATATTGTAGAGCAAAAAAAAAAAAAAAAAAAAAAAAAAAAAAAAAAAAAACCAGGGATAATTACGAGTAAGTTCAGATGCTACGGGAAAAATAATAGAAACAAATATATAAAAAAGAAAACTACTATGGCCTTCAAATAAGACTTACGTTATCATGTTTTCTGATGTTATAGAATCGCCGAAATCAAGGTATTTGGACCTGCCGGGATGAAAGTGCTTCCACTTGGAACTCTAAGCAACATCACAAAATACGTCGATGTCTATTGGACGCCGTCTTCTGATCAGACCGGGGAGGTCATCATCTGTTACCAGGCCAAGGATTCAGCAGGGTAATCTTGTCTTAGGGGCCATTCCCACAGATATTCGGATCGATCTATCTCCCTTGGGAGTCTCACTAAATTGCTATCAACTTAACCAGCTTAAATGTCTGTCACGCCTAGTAAAGCTGTTCGGGGGTAATTATCTTTACACCCTAGCTGATTCGGTAGGCTTGACAGACATTTAAGCCGGTTAGTTGATAGCAATTTAGTGAGACTCCCCAGGGAGTTAGATCGATCCAGATGAATCGATCTAGGCATGGGAACCCAGTCTTAGGGGCCATTCCCAGACCATATCGTACTAACTGTTGATCGATAACTCCAATTGTATTCTCGCTAAATTGCAATCAACTTAAGCTGCTTAGATATCTGTCTGCTGAGGGGTAATTAATTATCCTTTAGCAGCTTCAAACCCCCTGAAGAAGGATCGATCCTGTTAGGTCGATCTAGGTATGGAAACTCAGTCTTACTTTGCTTACAGAAATGTCCTTCACCTGTTGCTTTTTAACTGATGAGTTGGGGCGATGTAATAAATATTGGTAGGACATACGGAAAGAAATGATGAATCGGGTAAATAGAAATGTAACAGAAAATGAAAGAGAGGAGGATAAAAAAGTGGCATGTCTTATTCAGATTTGAAAATAACACGTATTTATCATGCTCACCATATGTTCATTAATCTTGCTTGGTGCTACATTTCTAGACTTTTAACTATTTTTCAGCAAATCAAGTGATTCCGTGTGTGACACAGTCAAGATAAACGGTAAATTAACCCTTAGAGTCCACCAATTGCAATTAACTGAGTCGTTATATCAAACTCGGTCAATTCGTCGTTTGTCTATGTTTCATTCAAACTTGTCAGTACACAATGCTAGCACCTTTGTTTGTCTATGTTTATTAACCGAGCCACACAATTATCTGAGGAAATCGTATAAATAGTATATTACATAATATCTAAGCAGCTTTGAATCATGTTCTACTGAATTAATATATAGTATCTGATTTCATTTCAGCAGGACCGGTAACCAAAGCACCGGGTAATACACGAACAAATTTTGACTTAACCATAACATGTCAAATCTCGAAAAAAAAGTAGTGAATGATTAAAATTGAGATTTTGCATAAATAAGTTAACATGTGTTTGCGATTTCTTGCACGACAAAAACAACAAAAACAACAACAATTCATTAATTAATACTGAATTAATATTTATGCTTTTATTTCAGAAAGCAGCACGGTTTCCGTGGAAAATTTTACCACAGCACAGACAACTGGTATGTTTTGTGTTTACCATGATATTTCAAATGTCAACAAATTAGTAAAATATTGAATCCCAAATCTTTACGAGTGAATTTCTAGGTCTTGAGACAGGCCTACCCAACTTCATGTACCAGACTCGGTACCGAATGATACCGAATTCACCGGTAGATCGGGTCACACTATAGATAAATATCCCTTTTCACAGTATCATACCCCGAACAAATTTTGAGTGGTGATGCAATGATTTCCAACCCCGCTGAGAATCATCACTATCACATCGCGTACTAGGCAAGAGCGGTGTAGCGTCTGATACTTGGAAGCACGTACTGAAGCACACCTTGTCAACGGGTATTGTGGTCCGATCTACCGGTGAATTCAGGATCATTCGCGATCGGTTCCGCGTCTGGTAGTTGGGTAGGTCTGTTGACAGATTCTTGTTTACTACTACTAGTACTACTCCTACTTTTAATAATAATGGCATGTATTTACAGTCTAAAATGAAGTCGGTTATTAGTCTTACCATATTACGGGACTGCGCCGATTCGATTCAAAAATGATTTACTCATAAGTGTAGAAAAGGCACTTATCCACATTGTCAGTCCTTCTGGGCCTGTCATCGGAATCAATCCGAAACTGAAAACGAATATTATATGTAGATACATTAGACCATGACTTTGATACGTTTATAAGCGCGGGTAGTATAAATTTGAATATTTCATTTTCTTATGTATTTACTTTGAAGTTTCTCATTTTGGTTTAATTTGAAAAAATGACCAAATTTATTTCAGTGAAAATTACGAACCAACGTGGTGGACATTCACCTGGTTTCAAAGCGTGGTACTTTGCACTCATTGCCGTTGCGGCTTTGTGTCTCTTAACTACCTGCTGTGTTGCTTATTGTTGTTGGAAGAAACACAAGCCAATGTAAGTGTGGCACTACCTTAAATCAGTAGTACATTCACATCTGTTTGACTTAAGCCTAGGTTGCATTTGCCACGTGACGTCTGTAGTATATACTGCCCGTATTTTCCTTTTCGTTCAGCCTCTGCATGAATGAAAAAAAAATAAATTGTACGGATACACGACAGCCTCTGTATACCGATACAGCCTCTACGATCTTGTCAAGCTAAAACTTTTGGCATTTAAATTTAAATCGTTAGCTTGTACACTGCCGCAATATCGTGAACGACATTGCATATTTCCTGTACAGGAATAGTTCTTTTGGCTTGCGGAAATAGCAGCAGCTCGCAAACACACATGACTGCTACGACAACTTGTAATGAACCTTTTACATATACCTATGACGAATGTCCTAAACTTATATAATTTTGTACGCTTAATTCAAGCATGGGCTCGAAATAGGACATTACGTTATAGACTTACTTAGTGGATAACGCAATCCAAAGATTTCACGGTTCGTGTCAGATTTACGTAAGGTCGCGCAAAGAAAACCCAAGTCCACATAATGACCAGTTAAACGATTTATTCCTTGACGCTCGGTAGCTACATGTTTTACGTGAAGTCTCCAACTCTAAACTCGTCAGCTCCGTACTCCGTCGCTTCCAGCTTCCTTCTTCTCTCCTCCCTTCTACATGTCTCTCCTCTCTTAAATATTTTTTTGTTATCTTTACATTGATTCAGTGCTGCACTAGTGTGAGATGTACGTCAAACCTACCCTGTAATTACCTTTAATTGTATAGTTAATTTCTTTACCTCGGCGTTATACAAAGAGGCCGCCGCATTACTCAAAAGCTATTGCACTATAAGACATTACGTCATATGACTTCATACGATCTTAATGTCGGACTTGACAAACTAACCAATCAGCAGAGAAGGGTATACAGCTCAACGGCTAGGACGTTGAAAGGAATCTCACTTTTCAACCGACAAACCGATTTCTGCCGACTTATGTGGGAGAAATTTTACGGAGTCCGCGTTCTAGTATAATGCAAAGGCATGTATATTGGCAGTAGTTTGTTGCAGATACGATGCCCAAAAAGATGGCACGGAAAATCGTATACGATTACGTCATGCGGTGCCGTCATTGGCAAATGTAGTCTGAGCAAATCGGCTATGTAACTTGATTGAAATAACCGTGTCAACTTGCGACTGAATTACGTACCTTTTTGTAGCACTTGTGTTCGTGAAGTTTTGTGTCCTTTAAAGGCNAGCCTCAAACATTTCAACTGCACTCTTAATGTTACGCAATACTTTTTTGTTGCATTTAAATGCAGGACATGCTGTCCTTTAGGTAATCGTTTTGTATTCCTGGATGAAATTCTATTTCATATTGTTTGTCACGATCATCCCACAGGCGCTGCAGCAAAATACGAGACACAGGATCAGAAGCGGCCGAAAGTATCACTGACCTTAAAAAGAAAGCAGAGCCCAACGAAGCCTCATGCGAAAAGAGACCGAGTCTTGCCTACCCTCCTCCGAATTACACGTTTGATGCGGTGTGTGGTGGAAGACGTAGCTTCCAAGAGGCGATGGTTTCAATGGACCAAGCATTTGTTGGAATGCCTGCTCCCCTGTACGAAGACACCAGTAGTTCCCCCTATCGTGAAGTTAATCACCATGGAAACTACGCATATGCCGGCGATGCAGCCCCATCCGTTGTCAAGGGGGCGCTTCCACCTCTACGAATACAGTGTCCACCTGCGTTAACCTCACCTCGAAGATCACTGCCGCCGATTTAAGTAGTTATTCCTTACATTATTATTATTATTATTATTATTATTATTATTATTATTATTATTATTAATAATAATAATAATTTATATAAATATAAAAAAATAAATTATTAATTAACAATAACGGTGATTTCGTGTTTCTATCCCCAGAAAATCCTAATTATAGATACCCACTGCATGTTCGATTAAAAACCAAATCCGCCTGGTGTCTGTTACTTGTGTACTTTTATATTACTGAGGCAAAGTTCTAGTACATCATAGACGGAATCTAATACAGACTTGACATTTAATATGGAATATTTTTTCCAAATCATTTTTCATCAGTTTTTTTCCTATTTTACTGACTGATAAATGAAAATAAGGATTAAAATAGTGTTCTAATAACTTTTAATTATCTCTTTGATGTCATTGTGACATCAGTTCATTAATGGAATTCGCCAGAGAAGCAAACAAAAACACATTGCCTTTTCTACTTCATACGACAACCATTAAATGAGATATTTTGGATCTCCATATTTTCCAAATTATTGTCTGTAAAAGAGTTACACGCTCCACAAAGGACCCTCATGTCAGTGTCTAGTCACAGTAACAGTCGCTGTTACGCCTGACCTCTTCTGGCTGCTACCAGCGCTCTCAAGCGGCAAGGCATTCCTTGGGATATGTTTTTAGAGTTCAATCTGGAATAACATTCCAGGCATCGGTCGAAATCTGTCCAATTTGGCCCAGTTTTGTTGTAGGACATGTAGGCCATTCATTTGGCGAGTAATGGCCTACCCACATATTGTCTACGTGGTTCAAATATGGCGGTTTTGATGACCAGGGTAGCTGTTCATTCCCTTGGTTCTCTAAGTAATCTGTTATTAAAAGTGCTCTGTGTGAACCGGCAATCCCACCGTACAACCTAAAATTGTTCTTAAGGTGCCCCCTATCAAATGATAGTCAAGTGGTTCCCAGATTATTCCTTTATTTAATCTGGTTCAGGTTTTCGTCGATGACTGCCATTGGTATTTTGGCACCAATGTGGTGTCCACTTCAAATACTGCCGCTGTTAATGACCTAAGTCACTTTAGAGGCGGCACACACTTCGTCGTTGGCCTCTTCTGGATGTCTGTAAACTCTATTTTGACTAGTTGAGCGGTACAGGGGAAATCTGACCTCAATAAAGAAAGCCACGAGGTTTCAGTGTTCAACCCGGAAACGGTCATGGTCCCTAATTCATTAGAGAAACATACAACGATGTTTTGCTGTTTACAGTGGGTTCCTCGGAGGTCGTCTGGTATTCTAACCTGCTAAAACCAGTTTGGTGTTCGCTAAGGGCCTTGAAAAATGCGTTTTGGTGGCAATTTACCCCTCATTCTGAACGGACTAGGTGGTTTTTGTTTAGTTGCAACAGCATATCCTGAAAGACAGTGGGTCCTGTACTCTGGTGGTAAGATTTTAATACATTGGGTGTGGCCTCTATGTAGGTACATCAGTCTGGGCATTACTCTATAAAACTGTGCGGACCGTTTCGTTTGGCGCAATTAACTGTCTGGCAATGTCTGTTTTTTTCGCGCCATTTTGCCACAGATTAACAAACTTGCAAAGCACTGCATAGCTCATTTTACACACTGCAAAACCGACCACTTGTATGCAAAATTTCAAATTTTTCTATGCAGTAGTTACCGACATATGGATACTTTTCTGACAGAACCGTGCTTTGCCAAAGCCAGGCTTTGATCTGCCCAAAGGAGCACTACCCAATTAAATTACTTCATATTACATAATGCAGCAGCGTAACAAACCTGGTATTCAGTTAATTGGAAGCGACACACCTGACTACACACTTCTCCATTCACATATCTTATATGAGATCTTAGTTTTTTGAAAAAAAGAACGCATTTCTACCTAGGCACACCTTCGAAACTAAAATATTCCATATTAAATGTCAAGTCTGTAGTAGTAATACCACTTTAACTTTTCTCATAATGGCTGTCGCAAAAGTATATTATTACGAATGCGTTTAGTTCATTCTTGCAGACAATATGGCCACGAGTACATTATGGTAGTAAATCATTATGCGTTTAATACAGAACCATCAACCATCAGGCATCAATGGTAATGTTATATTGTTTTTGTTTCTCAAATATTGATAATAAATGAGGTTTAATCATAATTGAGGTTTATTAATTTTTTCGCAATATATGTTATATATTGAATGTACAGGTACAGATAGATTATAATTCATTAAACTCATACTGCCTGGTAATTATGTATCGTTCTTTATTCTCATCTCCCTGCCCTTGCCAAAAAATGTCTCATTTAACGTTCACTTATGATCCTCAATCTATTCCAGAACATTTGGTGCATTTTTACCGTTCTAGTATTGTTCATTATTGAATGTATCAGTTCGAGAACTGTTTTTACGAAGTCCGTAGGAATGTCCTTGAACAGATTAAGAACATTTTTTCATTAAAAGAGAAAAACATTTTGTCTAGGACAGTTTGAGAACCGTATCTGAGTGTCAAATGAGAAATTTTCGCAGGAATGGTGATACCATATGTCAGCGCTCAGGGTTAGTATAGCTGACACAACCCGCACAAAAACGAAGTAGATACTTCAGCGCAGTAGACTACTGCAATCATACTGCAAACATGCTTCAAATCTGCTTCGATGTGGGAGCTAATTAGCATATTTGAAACATGCTTCTATCATGATGCTAATCCACTGCATTAATGCTCCTCCTCTGTACAACCCTCTGTAATTTTTGAAGTAGAATAGCTGTAGGCTATACTGCATTTCTACTGCAAATATGCTCCACACCTCTTCTGCGTTAATGCTTTGCTACTTCGATACTACTGCATTTTCGTGCGGGAATAAGCAGCAGAACAAAGTAAATCCATCATACCTACAAACTAAATAAATTAAATCACACAGACACTCATGCGATAGGAGTTTAAAGTTGAAATATGAAAATTTTAGGTGTTCCATCGTTCCTTGCGAAAGCAAGACGAGAAGTGTGTGAAATGGTTTTAATGTTACGATTGACCACATCTTATAAAAGAAATGCGATATCTATTAGGAACGTACATGTACACAAGTAAATAGATGCTCATGGGATTGTAAAATCAGTTCATTTTAAGAAGGCCTTGTTATGAGGTCGAAACTTCGGGAATTGTGTTGGGCGCAAGATTAATATTTTACTTTTATTTCTTTATTATTTTAATATGATAAAAAAGAATGAATCACAAAATCACTTTAATTCAAAGGGGATTGTGATAGAGAAGTGTTCTTATTCAACTTGTATTTGTCACAATATGATACCATGTTGGTACTATTGTACTGCTTGTGGAGTGGCGTAGATTGAAAAAGAATAAGCTACATAATTCTATAAATGAGTTTACATACACGTGTATATATAACTAATTGGTCCAACGTGTATGTGGATGATCCGTGTGTAACGCATGATAGAGTATTGGAAAAGGAGGTGATCCGAGTTACAATTATAGTAACTATAGTTGCGTTAGATGTGACAGCTGGCAGTTTTACTGTGCCGGATGTGACTGAGTTTTTAAAAGTAGTTTCCGTGAGAGTGTGGAAATAAAGAAGCCACAGTCATACTTTCCTTCTCAGTGTACTTGAATCTAAAATAATTATCGATATGTATTGAGTATCATATGCATTAACCATATGGACAACTTATTAAGAAAGGTTGTATTTTAACGAACATAAAATGGTGCCCGTACGCATTTATCATAAATGTAAAGGAATGATATAAAACGCTTGGGAATGCAAATTGTTGATTTCGAACTACATGTACCAAAACAGCTCACACTGTTGTCCATAAGGATTAATTTTTATTTACTTCCAGAACATGGTTACTGACAGATTATGTTTGAAATCGGTTACTACTAGGAAGAAAAAGATAGACAAACATGTACTCCTGTACATGTTTTTTTTTCAAATGGGCATGTCTTGAACTCGGTGAATAAATTCGCTTTATGGGGATAATCAATGGCGCTGGTTTTCATCAATAGACCATAAGCTTACGCCACTATCCTTTACCACCACAATACAGAGTACGGTCCCTGACTATCAACTGGTGGTTGTCTCCTAACTGAACTTACTCTTATCTTTTTAGTCTAATGGCGTGAAATAAAACAACATCCAGCATTTTCATCTCAATACCGTCTTTTATGAGGGGATAATGCCAATAAATCAGTAAAGTATCCAGGCCTACTTTTTCGGCTTTGATCCTTCGCAGTGGTCCCCACAGCGAACACTGCGCCTCCACCCATACCGGTCTTCCTCTGTACCTAACTACTAGATATTCTCTTTTGTAGTATTCTTATTTTTTCTTCTACTTCCTTTGTTTTCTCTTTCCCCGTGGTTTCATCGCTAGAATTCTTTGCCCTTCACATTTTTCTTGTGATATGTTAGCATTAGGAAAATAAACAGTTTACAGCATATATCAAATGACACACTTCGTGCATAGGCCCACCTCCCCAAGTATTTTCTCCCGAGCTAAAATCTAACGTAGGTTATTCCTTGCGCATAGAGCTTGCCACAGGATAAAAACACAAAACATGTCCTACATGTTTGTATTTATGCGGCGTAATTGCAAACTGACTTATTCTCTGCTGAATAATTTTGTATATTGCAGAAACCGAGTTCCTATTACAATAATTATCTCTTTTTTTTGCAATTAGAACCAGTCGAATTGTACACGCACCATAATTCAAAACTCAAATATATTATTTAAAGTACAATTGATTACAGAAGCTTAAATAACCTAAATTGATATTTTGTGTATCGAGGATATTTTAAATGTACTGATAGTCTTGTTTCAACAGCATTCTTAGTGCTCATTGAAATAAGAGTACTCAATTTTCATGATTTATGAAGGCCTGATTGCAGTTTAAGGAAGATATATTTTTGAACCCAACATAGTTTTAACTATTATTAAAATGATTTGTCAATCGACTCCACCAGTATTTACCTGGAAATTTTACATGAAGCACGTGCCC